GATGCCAACGAAAGACCCTTATAACTCCTAGACCAACACATGACCACATATTTACATTTGTATGCCGACTTCACTTTGGTATTTAGTATTCTTTAACACAACCAAAACCAACCCCCTTCAAATAAATACAAGCTCTAACAATTTTTAGGTTGGCTTTAAAAACGAAGTGGACGTATGTACTTCAGAAATGACACATGTTCCAACTACTTCTAGTTTGGATTGGATTTTCTCCTCTATGTCCAATCCAAAATCTCCACAAAAGTTTCTTCTCACCAATCCATCGGATCATAATTCACGAAAATTATAATCTCATCCCAATCTGGTACCAGATTTCTGGACCTCATCCGAAACTGGAGACAGGGTCTTTGTTCAAATTGGCATTTTTATAAGCAAAACAGAGAAACAATAGAGAGAGAGAGAGAGAGAGAGAGAGAGAGAGTGTGTGTGTGATTATGGAAGAAAATGGGAAATTGAGAAATGTACCTGTAATCATATCTGCAAGAGCTTAAAGGGCTAGGGCATTTATTGAGAGAAAACATGTTAGCAAGATCAAACTTGCACATCTGAGAAGAACATGGAATGGATTTGTGTGTAGAAGAGCGATCTGCGTTGAACACCCTCTGGTGGTTTTTCCTGCCTTGGCGTATGCCACAACCCTTACCGCAATGGCTTTGGCATCTCACCCATGTCAAGTCACTGCCTGTATTTGCAATCACCATGAATTTCTGGGGAGGTGTTCCTACTTCGAGCTTCACCAGGTACTGCCCGAGACCATAATCCCAACCGGCAGTTATCGGCATTGCCATGGAGACTCTTGTTTGCATATCCATTCGCCTTGTGCTGTTGCTGCTGCTGCTGCTGCTGTTGCTGCTGCTGCTGCTGCTGTTGAGGCCTTGATCATGGCCGTTTTGTTGCCTCTTTTGAGCCATCATTTGAAATCTAACGATGTCGTGGCGGTGTAGCTCCTGGATGAGCGCTTGCTGGGTTGGAGGTATCTCTACATGCACACCATGGTCTTTGGCACGTGGAGAGTACCTGTGTATCATCTCCAGCCTCATCTCATCACCATTGTCACCATCTTCCTCATCATGATCTGCATGAGCGAACGCAAGGCCATGGATGGCAGAGAGCAAGAAGATGAAGAAGAGGGTTGAACCTGACCTCAACTTCATCTCCAAAAATTTGATATGAAACAATAAACAAGGGGGGGGAGGAAAATAGAGGCACTTTGGCAAAATGTAAGAAATGGGGATGATTAAAAACAGGGGAGGAGAAACAGAACAGAGCTAAATTTAGGTCCTGGGTTATGGCTTTGCAGTTGAGGCCCTCCCTTGTTGTGAGCTTTGGGTGCTAATTCACACCTTGTAAACAAAGTAAAAAAAAACTAACCAATAAACCCAAAAGTAGGAGGTTGGGGTGGTCTAACATCAAAGATAGTGTGAGGCTGAAAACCATAAAGGGAGGCGCCTTTATTTTTTTTTGAGTTTGAGGCTATCTATTTAAAGCATTATGAGCCCCCCAATCCAACTTCTGGTTTTTCATTTTTGTCTGCCTCATAATTTTCTAATGAGTATATATATATATCGCAATATGGTTGATATGCAATCGTATCTCTCTCTCTCTCTCTCTCTCTCTCTCATGACTCATGTGGGATTAATATCAATCTGGAGTTGAAATTCAAATGACAGCATTGAAACTGAACCAATATTTTTATTAAAAATACAAGATTTATCATAAGATCACTTTGTTTGATAACTTAATGATGTAACAGTTTAGTCATTAATTTTAAAACTCCAACTTTGTACGATCTTTCTTTATGTTTGTCGGAGGGACACGGTTTGAAATAGATGTGTTATGTAACGTGACAATATTAAAAACAAATGCATGGAAGGTTCGTTAGTAAGTACTGCCTCATTAACCAACAAGCTTCCCCTCCACAACAAGGAGAGAGAGAGAGAGAGAGAGGTAACATTTTGACTTGATCAGCGTGGCCAGCTGGCTGAAAATGAATGTTTGTTTTTGTGTTTAGGATTAATTACCGTTCTCTTTCTATTTTTAGAGTATTTTTTAAAAACGGTTACAAGTTTGTTACTTCTACAAGGTTTGCCCAAATAGCAACATAACTGATGTCAATGATATATTTGTACTGCTAACAACCTAAAATGGCTTCGCAAAAATCACACACAAAAGTTTATAGGAAGACAACGATTGGAAAAAGGGGCCAAATCGGCTTTGGTCCACATCCAATAGAGCAAAATGGTCGGTTCTTAGGGGAGGGACGAATTGAACCTAGAACCTCAGTTGCCATATAAATAATCTAAATCACTTTAGCTACTATTCCTTTGCCATCAAGTTGAGTGAGCCTAGAAATAAGAACTTGAGATATCTTCTAATATACTAAAGAAAAACAACACTAGTTGAACCATAATAAGTTTTAGGTCGAAAAACATAATCCCGTGATATAATGTCATATCCTAAGACTTTCTCTATATATTATAGACTAAATTTGACAATTTGTCCAATTCTCAGTGTCCACCTTATTTGGTTATAGCATGACCACACTCAACAACAACGCGTCTGATTATTTTACTAAGATTTTAAAGTTAATTCTAATGTTTTGAATTTGGGGGACTTTATTGCCCCCTTGAAGTCATTTTCCTTCAAGAAATATATATTCAAGCCTTATATATATAACAAAAATGCTAGTCATAGCACATTTATATACCACATTGTGCAAAGGATATATTAGTGCAGTGGTTTAGAGTAATTGCTTCTCTAAACAAGGTCCAGGATTTGAGTCCTAGCATCCATTAGTGGAACTACATGGAGGGCAGATCGGGCAGCTTGTGAATTCTCTCTCTCTCTCTCTCTCCAGCCCATTTTTTAGATTTTTCTCTCTCTTGTGGGCTTTAGTTTCCTATTATCTCTCCCTCTCTCTCTCTCTCTTTGAATTGGGTTTTTATTCTTCTTATTATTAATTTTTAGGATTTGAAAATGAGTTGTATAGTATGGGTTTTGGTTATTTGTTGATAATATATTAATATTTTTGGGTGAGCTTGTGCTATTATTTTTGTGTTGCATTGCATTTACTTGTTGTTTTTATTTTTGGTTTTTTTAATAAGCTTTTATTTATGTATAAAGATGTATTTGAGGGTAATGCTCATTACATTTATTGATTAGGTGTATTTTTCTATGTTTATTAATGAAATTCACTCATACCATTGAGTTTTTAATGTAAGTTTCATCTGGCCGACTTTCGAATCCTGGATTGGCCAATATACCGTGTACCCCTCTCAATAGGAAAGGTCTTAAAGAAAACCATATTATGTACCACTTCTCTAATAGAGGTGCCCTATTATATTGGTAGACTTCACCTCTATTAGAGATGTGGTATGCCTAGCATTATTACCGAGGTGCACAATCGATGCTCAAAAGAAAAGGTCAATCTTGCTAGTAATTAAAAGATTTTTAATAAATAAATAAAAATCTAAAGAATGAGTATTGAACAAAAACTATAATATCGTTGGGAAGTCAAAGCCTATACCAAACATGTGTATGTAATACATATATACACGTATGCGAATCCCACCAATGGAGAAGATCATGAGCTGTTCATCATCAAGATTTGACATTCTATGTACCAAATAAAAACAAAGATTTGGGTTTTGTTTTTTGGTTTTTAGTTGTAAAAGCAATCAATTTCAAAGAGTTGTGAATGGAATAAGTAAGGATAATGGTGAGTAATAATTGTATAATCACCGTTTGGTAGAAGTGGCATGCAACTTGAAAGAGCAAAGAGGATGATATTTCAAAGGCAAGATTTGGAAACAGCTAATATTAGACTATAGACTCACTATAGGTATCATCTTGATGTTGAGAGTTTGTAGCGGCAAATCTGCCATGTTACATGGAGATTTTGACCTCTTCCTTCCAAGTTCCATCCCCATTACTAGGCCTCACCGGCAATTTCTTCGTTCTCATATTATTATAAACCAAAAACCCACCACTAAATAGACTTTTTAGGAGCATTTGCTAATATTGTGCAAGTGCCTCAGATTTGTGGCACTACTAAATTAAGCCAATATTGGATTGTACTGAATATGATAGATCTAAAAGAAGAGGAAAAACACTAATGGACTCATTCTATAGTGAGGGTATTATCCAAGACCATTAGATGAGGCTCTATCTTTTAACCGTTTGATCAAACTAACCAATTTGATCATACAGTTAAAAGATAGGTCCTCATCTGAGGGCCTTATAACTATAGAATTCTACAACACTAATGACCTCTGGAGTCGTTTCGCATGATGTATGTGCTACCAGGCCTCGCATGAAGAACAGGCAAGTATGTGTTTTGGCCCAATATGAATGAAGGCCTAAACTTTGGATTTGAGCAGGATGTGCAAATCTCCAATTAAATAATAGATAGCATTGTGACTTGTGTAAAACTTCTAAATCAGGAGTTTATTCCGGCAAAGAAACCTGAAAAAACTAGACTTTAATATTGTCGACTGGTGGCACCTTGTTTCGTATAGTAGCGCCATCTCCAAGCATGCTTTCATTACTTGATTGGCAATTAAGGAATGACTAACTACCATAGATCAGCTTGCTAGAGTAAGTTTCACAGAAAAAAAAATTGAATTGTGTTTTTCTGTCATCACCCTACATGGAAAGTATGGATCATCTCTTCTAAGATTGCAGCTTTATCTGAAGGGTTCGGTTTAAGCTGCTGCAGAAGTTCTTCTGCACCAGTTTAACGTTGATAGGCAAGTGGGGGACTGGAGCTTCATCGACTGATCAACAATCTAAGGGAGGGAATCTCATTTCTACATTACGAAGTTAAGCCGGAATGACTTCATTTACCATGTTTGGATTGAAAGAATAATCAAATTCATTCTGATGTCAAAACAGAAAAGCAATCATGTCATTGTGGAGGAAACAAGTTAGCAACTTTTCAATAACATTACAGCCTTCAACAATGTCTGTCACATTGAGATAGATGAATCCAAAGCTTGCGCAAGGATTATTCATGTATCACTAGAAATTACCAAGTCGAGGGATGAAACCATAAATTTACAAAAAAGCAAATATCTATCTTGGTTTTTCTTTCTACCTCTAATATCCGCTTTGGGCCACAGTGGAATCTGGAGGATAGCTGCAACAAATTCATAAGAGCAATGACCTACGAATAGAAATCCGAGCCTAATTTGTAAACTTCACTTTTTCTTCAACATAGTTGCTTCAGATTCTTTGGAGCGAAGCTTTCAGATGTGGTTGAAGACTTGTGAGATTTGTAGCCATCTGAACCTCATAAAACAGTTCTTCATCTACCAACTTAAAAACTCTGGTTATCTCTCTCACCTATGCAAGAAACAGAAAAGCATCATAAATTGTTCAAAAGTCAATTTCAGGACAGAGACAACTAATTTTTGTTACTGAAAACCATCAAGGCTGCTTTACAATTCATGGAACAACAAAATACCTGAAGTCAGTCAGATATCAAAATAATTCATATTTCTTATCAACATTTAGTCGTCTCCACGGATAAGATACTAGATTTCATAAATCTCTAATCCAAGGGCAGAATGACTTTAGTATAATAAGACATCAAGGGAAAGGACTCCAATCTTGAATCAGGATTTGATATCCTGTAACCAATTCTGCAGATATACGTAGGTCTTGCCTTCCGTATGTGCAGACCTTGAACTCAACGAAGCTCACTCTTCCCACACCAGCTCCATTTCTCCTTGTTATACTTTTTGTTTGTATCCCCCTACCCTTTATGTAAAATCTCTCGACATTCCAAAAATCATCAGCCAAGACATTTTTGAAAGGTTGCAAAGATAAAGAAAGAGTTTTAAATAATTAATTTAAAAATCATCTATCTTTGTATTATACCCCAATATCTCAAGATCCTTGAGGGATCCTCATTAGCCATGATTTTAGCAGCACAACCACTTTCCTTCTCCAAGAAGCTCTCAACTGTGCCCATAGAACTTATATGTTATACCGATAAACTCTCAAGTACCCATGTCTTGCCTTCACAACCTTACTGGCAATTATAATTCTCAATATACATATATCAATTTATTGCTTATGGTGAAGATTACTTATAGTAGGAAACTAAATAGCAAGTTTTTTTTTGAGCTAGCTCTATGAACTGCCATAAATTGATACATGAATCATTGTAAGGAAATTGCATTATTGTATCCACGGATCAGCTTAAATTACCTTAGAAGCATTGCCGACAAGTTCACTTTGAAGCTTTATGAATTTCTCTTCTGCACTGTATGTCCCTTTCTAAACAAATAATATATATACAATAATATCAGCAGATCAAACAAAGTAAATAATTAAGAAACATTAATTATCAGAGCCATACAGATAGAAGGTATATTATCAGCTAAACTTGGATTCATTTGTCATTAAAGTATGCATACCCAAAATAGGAACTGCACATTCCATATTCAGAAATGTATTTTCCAAATGAGGAAAAAAAGACAGAATCAAAATCCATATAGAACTTCTGAGATGCTACCGATCAAAAGGAAAAAAGTTAGAATCTTTAAAGAGTTAAGGAATATATTTCAATGGGTGATCAAACAGCTGAGCAGAGCAGTGACGAAGCAGTAACTTGGAGAATGAATTTAGGGACACATATAGGATGCGATGGAAATGAGAATTTCCCAGTAGGAGAAGACAAGGAAATTCATTGTATTTGTACCTGGGTGAGTACATGCATTGCATGATGAAATACCATGGCCACAACATTAGTGGATTTGGGTCATCAAAAGATTCGTTCTTTATTTGCTTGGAGTTGTTTCTAAATGCTAAATGCTAAATGCACATCCATCTCCAATTCCTTTCAACAATAACCATAAATATGAGAAGAAAAACAAAAGGGTAGTGCCACATTGGTCAATATAGCATAAATAAGCAAACTTGAGGCCACAATTCAATAGAGCAAGCACCTGAACTTCAACAAGGCCAGTGCTTTGGGAAATGACAACTTCAATAGTACCATCTGGTTTGGGTCTCCAAAAGCCACTCTCAGCGTGCATAGGCTCCCCGGAGTTCAATTTCCAGGTCTTCTGAGTGTAAGCTATGAAGGGCTTCTCTCATTTCAAGAATATAATCAATTGGCAACCAAATAGTCAGACAGAGACAAGCAAAGAAACAAACAAGACAGCGACTTTAGTGACCCACTGAGTCAACTCACTGACCCAGTAGCTAAAAAGAGAAATGGAGTACCTTGCCAGAGTGAGAGAAATGGAGTTGTTCAACGTAAGAGAAGGAGTTGATGGTGGGAAACCCACCTTCCCCTCGGCCTCTCCATGTGCCCAGCAGGTATGAGAGTGGTGCTATTGCTGGGTGTATAGCCGGTGATTCTGTAGCATCCTCCATGTTCTTGTTCTCCACCAAGCTCACAATACAGGCGTTGCTATTCTCGTCTTCTTTTGTCTTTGCTCTGCGGCCTACTACAAGTACAAGTTTAATCGTCATCATCTAATTTTCATTTTTCTTCCTTTTATTAAAATATTTTTCGATTTAACTAAAGAAAATAAAACAAAATAGTTACCAAAGGATCACTTAGTTATCTCTAAAGTGGCTTTTAATTTAAGTGATTAAAAACATGAAACATTTTCTTAGGCCCAAAGGTGTGAATATTTTAGTTTTGGAGTGGAGGATTACATAAATATATTTCTCAAAACTTAATATAAATAGTAGAAACGTTGATAGCATTAACTAAGAGAGCGACATGTAGATTAGATAATTTTTAATTATACTTCAAAGAATGTAACTCGAACATTAGTCAAAAGCATTTACCCTTGTACTTAAGGTTGTATGTTTACTTCTTTTCTGTACTAATATAACTCATGTAAAATATGCATATAATTGTTTTTACAAAAATATATATAATTGTTAGGCCAAAAGTTAGTTTTAGTCCCTACAAAGAGCAAAATGATATTTGCCTTCCATAGCTGCTTCAAAGGGCTTAGTCTTTTTGAGAGATACCCTTATAGAGCCCTTTCGTACCCAAAAAAAACAAAAAACCCTTATAGAGCCCATCATATATTGTTTTTCAATAATCCGAACCGTCTATTTTTTAGATATTCCCTCAAAGATCATTTATGCAAAAAATAAAAAAATCACTTGAATCCGAAACTATTTGACCACTGAATTAGATGATTGTTATTTTAGTCTCTTTTTAAAGCACCGTGTTCGTCTATTTTGTTGCTTACAATTAGATGCCTTAATGATTTTCAATTTGTCTAATTTTTTGCAAGAATGATCTATTAATGAAGACTTGAAAAGTAGACCGTTTGGATCCTTTAAAAAAAATTAGTAGGGTACATTACCAACAACAACAAAAACTTATTTTTTTTTTTTTCCCAACAGATGAGCTTATTTGAGAGATACCCTTATAGAGCCCTTTCGTACCCAAAAAAAACAAAAAACCCTTATAGAGCCCATCATATATTGTTTTTCAATAATCCGAACCGTCTATTTTTTAGATATTCCCTCAAAGATCATTTATGCAAAAAATAATATAACTCATGTAAAATATGCATATAATTGTTTTTACAAAAATATATATAATTGTTAGGCCAAAAGTTAGTTTTAGTCCCTACAAAGAGCAAAATGATATTTGCCTTCCATAGCTGCTTCAAAGGGCTTAGTCTTAAAAATCACTTGAATCCGAAACTATTTGACCACTGAATTAGATGATTGTTATTTTAGTCTCTTTTTAAAGCACCGTGTTCGTCTATTTTGTTGCTTACAATTAGATGCCTTAATGATTTTCAATTTGTCTAATTTTTTGCAAGAATGATCTATTAATGAAGACTTGAAAAGTAGACCGTTTGGATCCTTTAAAAAAAATTAGTAGGGTACATTACCAACAACAACAAAAACTTATATGTGAGGTGTCCCCTTGGCATTGGTTGATGAGAGGCCAGCTCATCCGATTGCAAGGTTGGAGAATAGTGGTGGGCACAGAGGAAGAGAAGTCAGTCCGGCCACTATTTGACAGAGGATTAAACGCCCAACCATCCATCCTCTATGACCGTTTCTCCTCTTTCTCTCTCTCTCTCTCTCTCTCTCTCTCTCTCTCCTTCCTGAAGTTAGAAAACACAAAACACAACACACACACATACACATTCACACACTCTTCTAAATCTTTATTTTCTTTCATTTATAAAAGGGAAAATCAAAATATGGGTTTTCCTAATTCTAGTTTTGTTTTGCTCCACAATTTTCTCCAATTCCTCACACCTCCTGATTATGGGTTTGTGTGGTGGTCCAGTCAAGAACCAGCTCATTCCAATTCTTTCTCTCAATACCCAAATGCCATTTCTCTTGTAACCCATGTTTCTTTCTTTCTTTTTCTCTCCATATTTCAAGAAAGATTTTGTCTTCCTTTGACAATTGCTTGGGAACCAAACAATTCATGTTCATCTAAGCTCTCTCCCAAACACTGCTTGACAAGGAAAAAGATCACGGCTTTGTTGCTGTTAATTGCCACATTGAATTTCTGGTTGGTTCTGCATTTCCTGCAATCTTTTATTTCAGATGGGTTTCTTTTATTTTTGCGTTTGCATTGTCTCTTGCTTAGCTTACCTCCGTCAATATGACTAATTCTACATTTATTTATTTATTCATTTCTTTCGTTTCTTTAGATACTACTACCCATATCTATATTCGGGTGCCTATCATTCTGTATTTGAACTTTGACTTTGTTGTGTATGTCCCTGTCTCCCACGCCATTACGTGCCTACCACATACTGGTTTTGAATTCTTGATTGTGCTTTCCTTTCACATAGGCATACGGACAGTGGATGTTATATGACCATAAATAAGTAGATTATTGTTGCTTCTAGCAGAGGTTTTTATTCTTCGAATGATGATTATTCCTTATTTTCAGAGCTACAAATGTATGCATATCAGATATAGGATATCAGTTAAAATGATTTAGCAATTGGATGGTTAGAAGGTTAGCTTTTGTTTAGTATAATAGGAGAGTCTAGTATAGGATGTTTTTAAGAGTATAATATACTTTTTATGTCCTCAAGACCACAGATTTATCCTGTTGGCTGTTTATAGGTTCATTCAATATTATCTTGTGTTGGAAGTAATGGATTTTCGTAATGATATGATCAGGAATTTCTTTTGAGGGGTGTTGTCAGTGTTACCCCATTCATGTCTTCAAATCCAGCTAATGTTTCTGACTCATCCGAGGTAATTGCTCCATGTCTATTCTTGGTCATGATTTTTGTTATGTAAAGGTGTTATTTGTGAATACTGATGTCATAGAATTGTTTCTTCCTCAAACGCAGATGAGCTACAGTTCATCAGATGAAACACCATGTGGACCCAAGATGCAATCTCATGCCAAGACTGGTATAAATTCATCCAATGATAAGGTTTACGACCCCAATAGGGTGGATAGAGTAGCAAAATCTAGTGTCAAATCAACTCAAATTTCATCAGGTGGACCTCAACATGTGGATCCAATTTCTAAAGGAACGGAATTTGGTACTAAGACTATAGCTGAGCCAACCACCAACCATCATCCATATCCAAGCCCAATGGCACCTGCAAATTCTGAACTTCTAACCACTTCAGCAGGAATGGCAATAGGACCATCAAAGAGTACCAGTTCTATCACCAACCTTGGCCAAATGAGCGGTAGTAGCTCTCGATCCGACAGCTTAGAGAGTTCCTCTAGTGCACCCCTCAGGCCTCATACTGGTGGTGATGTACGGTGGGATGCCATTACCATGGTGTCTAAAGGTTCCCCACTTAATCTTAGCCATTTTCGGCTTCTTAAGCGCATAGGTTATGGAGACATTGGCAGTGTCTATCTTGTTGAGCTCAGAGGAACAAATACATTTTTTGCCATGAAAGTCATGGACAAGGCATCTCTTGCTAGTAGAAACAAGCTATTGCGAGCACAGACAGAAAGAGAGATACTTGGACTTCTTGACCACCCATTCTTGCCCACTCTCTATTCTTACTTTGAGACTGATAAGTTCTATTGCTTGGTCATGGAGTACTGTAGTGGAGGTAATCTGCATTCTCTTCGGCAGAAGCAACCTAACAAGCATTTTACAGAGGAAGCTGCAAGGTTTGTACCCTTTCCAGTTCTTCTGGTTTCTTTTTAGCTAAATATTGATAATTTAATTTGCTTATTTCTTAATATGTATGTGATCTTTGCTCAGTATTTTTGAATTTCCTTACAAGCATGATCAATGAGATTTGGTTGGAGATACTGGTTTGATGGCTTCAACTCACGGTTTGAAGCTGCACAGTCAGTACGTTTCCAGCCTTTTGTTGCATTGTAAGGGATGTAGATTTCATATAGGAACCCCCTTTTTTTCCTTTTGAATTGCAAGAGTCACTTCATTGAAGGTTGTATACATAATGTAGCTTATAAAAGCTTGTTGATGGTAATTATTAGCCTTTGGTTTCTATCATTTCTTTTTTCTGGACAGTGGCACGGCAAAGAATGGTTCTTTCTGGGTGCAGAACTGCATATGTTATAGGCTGAGAGATAGACTTCTTATTATCAAGCATGATGCAACTTAATTGTTAATCTGCTAAAATCCCCAACCTTTCTTAAGCCAACATAATGAAATCATATCTTCGCTGTGGATGTTCTATCTTTCTTCTCATTCTAATTCCATTGCATGCTAAGTCTAAGTTCCTTGTGCCATTCTTAGATGTTTAGACTGGGCAAGAGGTTTCTTACGTTTTATCTTTCGGCAGATTTTATGCATCACAGGTTTTGTTAGCACTTGAGTATCTGCACATGCTAGGAATTGTGTACAGGGATTTAAAACCAGAAAATGTTCTAGTAAGAGATGAGGGTCATATCATGCTCTCAGACTTTGATCTCTCACTCCGTTGTTCTGTCAATCCTACACTAGTCAAGTCATCATCTGTCCACGTAAGCAATGGTGGTGGTGGTGGAGGTGGTGGTGGGGGCATTTTAGACGATGACCTTGCTGTGCATGGTTGTATGCAGCCATCCCATTTCTTTCCACGCATTTTACCAGGCAAGAAAAATCGGAAATCTAAATCAGATTTTGGCCTTTCTGCTAATGGCAACCTCCCTGAACTGATGGCAGAGCCTACAAATGTGCGCTCCATGTCATTTGTTGGAACACATGAATATCTAGCCCCAGAGATTATTCGCGGAGAGGGCCATGGTAGTGCGGTGGACTGGTGGACGTTTGGTATCTTCTTATATGAGCTCTTACATGGGACAACCCCCTTCAAGGGTCACGGAAATCGTGCCACACTTTTCAACGTCGTAGGGCAGCCTCTGAAATTCCCAGAAACACCACAAGTGAGTGTTGTTGCACGAAATCTCATACGAGGACTGTTGGTGAAAGAACCACAAAAACGGATTGCCTATAAAAGGGGTGCCACAGAAATAAAGCAACACCCATTTTTTGATGGAGTGAACTGGGCTCTGGTGAGATGTGCCATGCCTCCGCACGTTCCTGAGCCAGTAGACTTTTCACAATATGCTAGCAGGGAAGCAAACACTGCGGACAAAAAGATCACAGATATTAGAGGTGATAAAAAGAACAATAGTCATAATGATTCATCTTATGTAGATTTTGAGTACTTCTAGCACTCCTTTGCATGATGATTTACATCCTCTGGAGGAAATTTACCTTGTACAAAGCTCAAAAAGTTGCAACTCAATCAGTTATATACTTGTATCATTTTATGTTGAGAGGTCTTCACAGAGAAAACTTTCGTTGACTGAACACTATTGATTTCTTTCTAGGTAAAGGGCAAATAAAAATACATGCAGGGGTGGAAATTGCATCCAAATTTTTGGCTTGCCATTCTTTTTGCATGTATATATGTGGACTTGTCAATACTAAATTGGATCTGAATTCTGGTCTGGTGTGACATACAGTTAAATGATTCCAATTAGGACTAACATTTGTTCACTTGGTTCCAAATTTTGATGCTATAACTGTTAATAAGAAAGGTTATGATTGTGTTTTGTTGGTAAAGAAGCACTTCAGCTGGCCTTGGGGCAGTTCTCCTTACAATGCAAAATGGGTTTATTCTTCAGACCACAAGTGAATATTCAGAACACAAGGAATGCTTTTCTTTTTTGGTTGGAAAATATAAGGATGCTTGAGAATTGACAAATTGATATACAAAAAGGGGATGAAAATTGGCAGCTGTTTGGTCCTATGCAAGGTGTGATTGGCATTTACAGGAAAAAGAAGAAAAGTGCGATTAGTAAATCCTAAAACACATTGACATAAAAATTAACCTGGTGAAATTATGTTTGGCAAATAAGAAAAGACCAGGTAAAATTATGTCAGTAACTCGTTTTTGTATGAAGCTATGTGTACCACCAATCATGTAAACTTACCGTCACGTTATTTTATTAAAGGGGATATCCGATTAAAGAACTGTTATTTACAGTCTAAAATAATAATCGCACAAATCTCTATATGAACAAAAAAATACAGAATAATTATTTTGAAGTGTTAATAGCAATTTCTATCCTATCATCACATTATAATAAAGAACAAATATGGCAGTACAAGACTTTGATCTGATGAAACAAAGTTCGTCTCTTTTAGACTCCTAAATCTGAATAATAATAAATGCAACGTTTTTGTCATCACTCATCATCCCGTATCTCATTTCTCAATTCTCAATTCTCAGGAGAGTAGAAACGATTCAATTCATATGACGACCTTTACATAAATACCAACAAAGAAAGCAACAAACTTTCACTGGTTCTCTCTCGCTAGAGCCCAAGTTTTCGAAGCAAAGGCAAACCTTTCACCTCTTTTGCTATCGGCGGAGAAATGGAGTCATTCAACAAGATAAAGGTGACCAGCCCGGTTGTCGAAATGGATGGTATGCCGTCTCTACAGTCGTATGCACTCTCTAATGCCTATTTTCGGCAATTGTTTCTTGTGTTCTGTTGTTTAAACTGCTCTGCTTCTTCCCATTGAAAATTAAGAATTGCTCTGCTTCTTTGATTGATGTCTGTAATCTTGAATTGATAAACATAATACAAATTATCAAATCACTGTATTTGGATGGATCCCATGGATCAGACCACGCTCTTCAAGCTTCCCAACTGCCAACCACCATTGTTCTCTCTTCTCTTTCTCCCCACCACCCCAACTCCGATCCACCTCACCCCTAAATATATATCTCTCTCTTCCTCTCACAAGAACAACCCCTACCCCACTATCCCTAGCCATTTACCCCATTCCAGCCAAGCTTTGCCCATTCAGGGGTCACCTCACTTCTTTGTCTCCATCTCTCCCCTTTGGCCATGCCCCTCTTTCCCACCTCTCCGTTGCTGGGTCCTTCCCTCCCCGACAACCCCCATCCTTTTTTTTCAAGTTTTTTTCCTTTCTCTAATGTTTTATTTTAATTTATTTTTGTCTGATAAGTTTTTAAAATTGGCCAATGGAAAACTTAGCTTTTTGCATTTAACCCTCAGCCATTTTTATCACAATGTGATTGGACATGTGGGCTCCACTTATCTTCCACATCACACTTAACAGAATTTATAACGGCAAGGACCATTTGTGATAAAAAGCCCAAACGTTAAGGACTATTAGTGTCACAAAAAAACCTCAAGGACCATTCGTGATAATTTCGTAAACGTAAAGGACTATTTGTGATAAAAAACCTTTTATTAAAGGGGATATCCGATTAAAGAACTGTTATTTACAGTCTAAAATAATAATCGCACAAATCTCTATATGAACAAAAAAATACAGAATAATTATTTTGAAGTGTTAATAGCAATTTCTATCCTATCATCACATTATAATAAAGAACAAATATGGCAGTACAAGACTTTGATCTGATGAAACAAAGTTCGTCTCTTTTAGACTCCTAAATCTGAATAATAATAAATGCAACGTTTTTGTCATCACTCATCATCCCGTATCTCATTTCTCAATTCTCAATTCTCAGGAGAGTAGAAACGATTCAATTCATATGACGACCTTTACATAAATACCAACAAAGAAAGCAACAAACTTTCACTGGTTCTCTCTCGCTAGAGCCCAAGTTTTCGAAGCAAAGGCAAACCTTTCACCTCTTTTGCTATCGGCGGAGAAATGGAGTCATTCAACAAGATAAAGGTGACCAGCCCGGTTGTCGAAATGGATGGTATGCCGTCTCTACAGTCGTATGCACTCTCTAATGCCTATTTTCGGCAATTGTTTCTTGTGTTCTGTTGTTTAAACTGCTCTGCTTCTTCCCATTGAAAATTAAGAATTGCTCTGCTTCTTTGATTGATTTCTGTAATCTTGAATTGATAAACATAATACAAATTATCAAATCACTGTATTTGGATGGATCCCATGGATCAGACCACGCTCTTCAAGCTAAGTTTTAGAGACAACCCAACAGTTATGTTCCATAAAACTAGATGATCATCTTAACATTACATATTTAGGCCAATTTGAGGTCCTTCCAGTCTTACCCACCACTACTATGATTCTTCTCAGTTGAGCTTTTTTCAAGTATGTTTAAATGATTAAAATTCAATTTTGTTCGTTTAACCAAATTGCGTGGCCACTACTTTATTAGTACTTAGATGCAACATCTAATTTGCGATGCATATATTTGCCTGAGCTGCAATCTATATCTGTGTCATGGAACTGTCCATCACAATATTTGTCCATGTATTTCTAGTTAAGAACTGATACAGATTTGTTCAACATCTTGTTATCTCTGGTTTTCTATGATGCATATTTCCATTATGCAGGAGATGAAATGACTCGAATTTTCTGGAAATCGATAAAAGATAAGGTAATTGTGTTATCATGGCATCTCCTATGATTTCATGTTCATAATGAATCTGCAACTTGTTTTAATGTTCTGCAGCTTATCTTTCCCTTCCTGGAGTTGGAGATCAAGTACTTTGACCTTGGCCTCCCTAATCGTGATGCCACCAATGATAAAGTCACAATTGAAAGTGCTGAAGCTACTCTTAAGTATGCCCCATCATTCTCCCTTCATGGTTCCTTTGTTAGACTGGAGTACTCTCAAAGAATGCTATTGTTTTATCTTTATTTTAGTTATGGTTGCTTTCTCTTTTGATTTAGTCTGCTTATTTTCAGTGGCACAAGTATGACGTGTTTAAATGGGCTCAGCAAAACATGACACAGTCTATGCTTTGTCATGCTGGAATGTCAGCAAAACATGACAATCTATGCTTTGTCATAGTCTGCTTATTTTCAGTGGCACAAGTATGACGTGTTTAAATGGGCTCAGCAAAACATGACACAGTCTATGCTTTGTCATGCTTAGAATGGAATGTCAGCAAAACATGACAATCTATGCTTTGTCATGTTCTATTGAGACCATTAGCATATTTGTTAAAGCGTTAAACCTATTTCTTTTCATGAAAAGAATGTATCACCTGTTGATGCCCCTTTATTTTCTTTGTATAATTTACTCCTTTTTTTCCCCTTGTTATTGTAGGTACAATGTTGCAATAAAGTGTGCAACTATAACTCCAGGTATATGCATAAATTCTTAATGGAGGGACAGTGTGCATTTGCCCTTAAATACATGGATTACTTGGCCTTTTCAATGGACACGATTTGGCTAACATGCTATTGTGATGATCTGAATCTTTTCTTTTGGATTTTAATAGATGAAACTCGTGTTAAGGAGTTCAACTTGAAACAGATGTGGAGGAGTCCAAATGGGACAATACGGAACATTTTAAATGGTCAATAGAATTTTCCCCTAATTTTAACATTTACCACTACATGTTCTGTTTTTTATTGGCTGTAATTAGCCAATATATTTTCCGTATTCTGCAGGTACTGTTTTTAGAGAACCAATTATCTGCAGAAATGTTCCCCGACTTGTTCCAGGTTTGCTATAATTTTCATCTAAACTTGCCCTTATAACAAAGAAAAATACCAATGAGTTAGTGTTCTTTCCAGGTTGGACAAAGCCAATATGCATTGGGAGGCATGCTTTTGGTGACCAGTACCGAGCAACTGATGCAATCATAGAAGGACCTGGAAAACTTAAAATGGTTTTTGGTATAAGATTATTTTCAGTATATAGCCTCAAATTTTGTGCGTTTTACTTTCGACAGCTACTTGCTAATATCAGAGAAGTTGAAATAGCTACTTTCGACACACCCATCATATATTTTGAATATTCTTCTTTTCAATACTTCAGTAGATTATTTATATTATCAAGTTATTTGCAGTACCTGATGGGCCCAATGAGAAGACAGAGTGGGAGGTTTACAACTTTACTGGTGCTGGAGGCATAGCTTTGTCCATGTATAACACGGATGAGGTTCAAACTTGCCCTTACAAAAATTCTGGTAACTTAGTTACTGGTGTAAGTCAGTTACTAAAGGTTTTAACAGATATTGTTTTTTATGCTTAAATTGTGAGAGCAGTCTATCCGTGCTTTTGCTGAGGCTTCCATGAACACTGCCTATCAGAAACAGTGGCCACTATATCTTAGCACTAAAAATACTATTCTGAAGAAATATGATGGAAGGTATGCTGTTGTCATGCTGCCTTTCTTCCTTCATTGTGTAATCTCTCTTCTTTTTTTTCTTTCTAAGTTTCCATCAATGGAAAAGGAAACAACTAATCCCCCCCACATACCTTGGAGCGCATCTGTGTGCATGCACATGCAAAAGAGAAAGAGACAGAAGAGAGCTATGAGATGCTCATAAAATACCTGTGTTACATATACTGACCCACAATGTTTCACTACAGGACTTCCTTTTCTTGTCATTTTCTTACACTTGAATTTTTAATGAAGATTCAAGGACATCTTCCAGGAAGTTTATGAAGCTCATTGGAGATCCAGATTTGAGGCTGCAGGGATTTGGTGAGATACCTTGCCAAGCAAGCTGATTAGTTTGCATAGTTTCAGTGATTTTCAATTGATTAATATTCTTTTGAAGGTATGAACACCGTCTTATTGACGATATGGTTGCTTATGCTCTCAAAAGTGAAGGAGGTTATGTTTGGGCATGCAAAAATTATGATGGGGATGTGCAAAGTGACTTCTTAGCCCAAGGTCTGTATATTTTATTGTGTTGAAACCCTGTGAATGCTGCTTTTGTTGGAAGCAAATAGAAAGGTGCTTGTTCTAGGATATAGCCACTGTGTTTGCTAATTTTATGACCTTTTAATAAACTTTGAAACAGGCTTTGGATCTCTGGGGCTGATGACATCTATACTGGTATTTCTGTGGTGATTTGTTTCTGTCTTATCTTACACTTTGCCTGTGGCTTTGGATGTATGAAAACCTGTTTTGGTTCCAGGTGTGCCCAGATGGAAAGACCATTGAAGCTGAGGCAGCCCATGGTACAGTAACACGCCATTACCGAGTTCACCAAAAAGGAGGTGAAACCAGCACAAACAGCATAGCTTCTATCTTTGCTTGGTCCCGAGGTCTTGCACACAGGTATAATATCAATATGGCTTAAGTCTGTTAGATGAGTGCTCCTACCTCTCATTGTGTGGGGGAAGGTGCGGGGGTTTAAAATTTAAAATTTTGATGTGTTCAGAAGTTGAAAACATCAGATATGAGTTTTCAGTAATTCTGTATTATCAGGGCAAAGTTGGATGGCAATGACAGACTCTTGGATTATACGGAGAAGCTTGAAGCAGCCTGTGTTTCGACTGTTGAATCTGGGAAGATGACCAAGGATCTTGCACTCCTTATCCATGGACCTAAGTAAGTGCTGTAAAAAGTTTCATTTGAAAGTTTCAGTAGTCTTTTCTTTCTATTTGTGTATGATAAAATGCTTCATTTTTTGTGTAGGGTCACTAGGTCTAAGTATCTGAATACCGAAGAATTTATTGATGCTGTGGCTGAGGAGCTGAGAGTGAGATTGTTTAGCAGAGCAAAGTTGTAAACTCTTGGTTGCCATGCAGCTTTTTTCTTTTTTCTTTTTTGACATGTTTAAGTCATTGGTATTTTTCCAAATAAATAAATGAATAAACTCGTATTGAGTACCTTCAAAATCCTCGGGTGGTCTTTTTCTGTCATCCTAAACTGAGTAATAAAATCCACAATGTCATTGATCACATTGGCTGACCCTTTCTCCCATCTATTTTAACTTCTTCAATTGTACCAATGTCACACTAGTATAATGACAAAGTTTGGGGCATCTTACAAGCCCACTTCACTCATGAACCACTCCGTTTTATTATTTGGAAATATCACCATGCTTATAACAAGGTATGTGATATTTATAGTATAACCTGTTTTTAAAAGGAGATATCTCCAAATTTCAGTTTAATTGCAGATTAAAAATACATCAATCTTGATTCTACTTGTAAACCATGAATGGTGGTATACCTTAAATACTCTTCTACAAACTTTCAAGTATAAGGCAGCTTGGCATCGCCATCGTCTAGTGACCAGTCACAAAATTAATCCCGGCCATGGGGCAGTGATCGCAATTCCTCCTCTTCTTTCATATCATGATATTTTTATTCATATCCAAAGCAAGTTGCCAACCCAATGGGCAAAGCATAATCCAGACAAAAAGCAGCACAAAAGTAGCAACTTTCTCCACAGTTTGCGCATTCCATGTATCCTAGGACTTGCTGCACATAGCTTATGCAGAAGTTGACCTGCAAAAGTACACCTCAAAGCTCAGGTTTTTTCCCTTTTTTCTATCTTGACGTGTTAAAGAAAATACAGACCACAAACAATGAGGTGGGGACTACAATGAACAGTATCAGGCGAATAAATCACTGCAATGAACAAAGAATATCATCTGCCATTCACTAAAGAATGAGCACATGCTGATAGTACTGTACGGAAAAAAATTTATGCCTGTAAAGCACTTACTCCCACACGCATGGCCAGAGTTCAATTCCCACTTTCCCCTTCCCCTGGATCAGAAAAGGAAAAAAAAAACACTAATCCCATCATTTTGAAGTCCCTCACCTTGAAATCCCATCATTTTGAAATCCCCTCACTTCAAAATTCCATCATTTCAAAGTCCCTCATCCAAACACAGCCTTAAGTCTTGCTAAATTACTAAACAAACTGCAAAGCATAATAATAGTCCTGCAATCAAGTGCTTTAGATGGACGAGATGAAAGCAGAAAACAAGCTAGAAAAAATCATGACAAGGACCAATGAAAAAAAAAATTCCCGTGCACTATTAGCGAATGCCATATATATATTACCAAAACAAATATGCAAGCCATGTATGAAACTAGAACTGTGTATATGAATACTTTGCAACTCTTATCCAATATAGATTAATCATTTGCAAAGGTGTATTATACCTACGCATGATTCACTTCCAGGTGACCTGCCAACAAAGCTTTCTTCTCATCCAGCTAGGAGCAGGTAAGGTGGCCCAGTGTACAAGGCTCCTGCCAATGGGGCTGGGAGGGATAGATGTTATATATCCCTGTTTCCCTGACCACTAAGTCACTTTCAGCAAGGCATAACCCCTCCAGTGGTGGAATCAAATGTTATCTATCAAAATGAAACAAGAAAAGCTGTTCGATCTGCAAAAGCAAAAGTTAAATGGATGACAAGAAGGCAGAAGACAAGCTAGAAAAAGAAAAAAAAAACATAACAGACAATCCAATAAAATAGTCTCTTGTACGATTAGCTAAATGGCAGATCACATATATTATAGAAGCAAACAGGAGAGTCATGTATAAAACTAAAACTATGCATATGATAACTTCGCAACTCCTACGCGGTGTAGATTAATCAAATGCAAAGCTGTATGATTACCTAGGCATGATTGACTTCCAGGTGACCTGCAAACAAAACTCTCTACCTATCCAGCTCGGGGTGGGGCGAGTGGCCCAGTGCTCAAGGCAGCTGACAATGTGGGGTCTGGTGAGGGCTCGATGTATGCATATCCCTGTCTCCAGCCGTGGAATAATTGTAATCTATCAAGAGGGAACAACAAAAGCTGTTCATTATGCAAGCCCATGCAAATTATCTACATTATTGAATAGGAAATTTACCATGCTATACCATTAAGGGCTTCATAGATTCACAGCTCATGCATCTATCCAGGCACTGATAATCAAACAGCATTCTTACTTCCGAAACTGCACTTTCTTGGCTTTTAGGATTCCATGTTGTAGAACCAAGAGTGTATGGGTATCTGGCTGTATTCCCTTAGAAGACATCTCATTAACAAGGGTTACAGCCTTATCCACATCTCCCCTATTACAACAGCCAGACAGAAGAGCTGTGTATGTCACTGTATCAGGTTCTAATCCTCTGTTAGTCATTTCATCAAAGAGTGCAATAGCATCCTGAAGGTTGTCTGTTTTACACTGTCTGTCTATCAAAACAGTATAACAAATTACATCAGGTCTTATTTCCATTTCCTTCATCTCAGTCCAAAGAGTGAAAGCATTCATCCTTTCTTCCTTATCTCCACTTGCGCCTAGAGGGGAGCGAACCCTTCTTAGGTTTCTTTTTGAATAACTATCAAGCAAAACTGTGTAAGTGATGATATCAGGTTGAATCCCTTTCTTTTTCATATCATAGAAGAGATCATGGGCTTCCCGCAAACAATTCACCCTGCAGTAGCTATTTATCAACATTGTGTAGTTAATGACATCAGGAGTGAATCCTCTCTCAACTAAAGAATCAAAAAACCAATGGGCCTTTTTCACCTCTCCAGCTTTGCACAGAGAAGCTATGACTTTGTTGTACATAGTTTTTCTAGGTTCCACATTTAAGGCCAACATTGACTCGAGCAATAAAATAGCTCTGTCATTATCACCTTCAACACAAAGGTTACTGAGTACCTTAAAGCAAACACCTTTTTTAACTAAAGTTCCTCCCTTTGCCAACCTAATAAGAAGTTCATAGGCTTTTCTTGTATCCTTGGCTTCACAGTACCCACTGATCATGGCAGAATAGTTATCAACGCTCTTATATTCCAAACTTTTTATAAATGCTTCAGCTTGTTTGACTTTTCCTCCTATACATAAATTTTCAATTATCATGTTGTGTGTAACAGAGTCTGGTTTAAAACCCTGTGACTCCATATAATCCAAAAGGTCAAGTGCCTCAGCTCCCAAGCCATTTCTAGAAAACCCAGCAGCAAGTACATTGTAAGTAGTAATGTCTGGCTTTAGACCTTTTTCCTTCATTTCCTCCAAAAGATTTACGGCATTAACAACATTCCCCTGATGACAGTAGCCTTTAATCAATGTGGTGTAGTGCATAATATCTAAGATCATATGCTTACACTTCATCTCTTCAAGCAATTCTAAGGCTTGGTCCACTTTCCCCAGCTTGCACAAAGCATCCACAGCGATATTGTAGGAAACCTCATCAAGATAGATCCCCAAGCTCTTATATTCTATGAAATAATCCACAGCTTCAGAAGGCATGCCCATCTTACACATGCACTGAAGAATAAAACTAATAATCACACAATTTGTTTTTATACCCTTCGACACCATGTCATTATGGAGTGTCAAAGCTTTTAACAAAAAACGATTCTTGCAGTATCCACAGATTATTGCACCATATGTATAAGAATCAGGGACCACCCCTCGCTTTTCCATATCAAGAAAGATGCCTTCAGCTTCATCAAATTTCATCTCATCACAGAACCCACGAATGACAGTGTTGTAAGCATAGACATCAATATGGACATTTGCCCCATTGCATGCTTGGAGCACTTGATATCCTAAATCCGACTTACGATTGGTGCAAAGTCCTTCAATATATGCTGTGTAGGCAAAGGCGCTAGGGGTTACCCCAGCTTTCTCCATCTCCTGAAACACGTCCACAGCCTCTTCCAAGCTGCCTTTCTTGCAAAGTCCCTTGATGACAATTGCGTAGGTGTAATCATTAGGGCTCAAACCAATCCGTTTCAACTGCTTGTATATAGCCACAGCCATATCCACTTTACCACGCTCAATCAAGCGGTTCATTAAAAAATTACTAGTAAAGACATGCGGCACAAACCCACGCCTTTTTGTTTGAAACAAAACATCGATAGCCTCATCAAACATGTTCAAACTGACAAAAGACTTGAGCAATGCATCATAAGCTCGAACCATTGATGGGGAAGCCTCAATTCCCTCCGCAATGGTTTCCAACAAATCCGAAAACTGAAATCCAAGGTCTTTAGAGCTCTTAATAAGGTCCAAGAAGAGAATATCCAGCTTCCTATACAGACCCCACGAGCATAAAATTCTAATAAGCGCGGAATAGGTGAAGACATCGTGTTGGAAGCCATCTCCCTTCAACTGGTGGAAGAAGGAAAATGCCAAATTGGGTTCGTTTCTTAGACTGTTGAGGTTGCTAACAACCCCAAAGGTATCTAATTGAGAGAAGAAATGGGTTGCATCGGAGTTATTGGAGTTGGTGTTTGTGGTGCAAACAGTAACATAATTGTCATCAGATTCATCAGAAGGTGATGAACAGGAGTTCCAGTGGGCAAGAGCCGTTTGGGAAGACGCCCACTTGAAACCACCAACACTAGCACCACCATAGATGAACATCAAATGATTGTGATTGTTTTGTGTGGGTTGAATGCGTTTTCTGGGAAAACCCAGTCTAATGGACGAAAGCCACATACACATGGAAGATTCAGACTCATTGCAACAACGCCTTCATGTAGTTCAAATTGAAGAGAATCGAGCAAAATTAAAGAGAAAGCTTACTTGGGATTCATCATTGAAGCTTAAAGCTTTGGTTTCGTGGTTTTCTTTTGCTCATACAGTCTGAGTCACCGACTCGGAGGTTTTGAATGACTTACTCTGAACAGCTTAAGCTTCTTTCTGCTAAAGCCTAAAACCCTACTGAAGTACCAACTTCCCCACCAGTAAACCCCGCCCACACAAACCGGGTCGGTTCAAAAGGCCTCTCGTTAACCTTCTCTTCTTTTTATTTTTTTTCTTTTGGTTCTAAACAAAATTTATTTTATTATTGCAATGGGACCGACCCAGTTATTATATCACATAGCTAAACAAATTTAGGGAACCGGCAGAAGTAACTTTATAATACGGTCGCATAAAATAAAAAACTTTATAATACGGTCCAGAAAAAAAAAAAAATTTAATACATGCGATAGTCTCTAAATTACATAAGAAGGGAATGAGTTTCTCACACACACATTGACTAAAAGGTTTTTTTTTTTTTAAGTACATGTAGACTTGATCCTAAACCTACTTCCTTTGCCACTTGAACTCAAGCTTTTGGGTTCCATTAAAAAAAAACTTAAAATTTTGGGATGTAATAAAATTTTATTAAAAGGGGTGAATAATTATATTTTAAATTTTTTCTTTTTATCAAGCGATATTAGATGAGCGGATATTTCGAATGGTAAATGCTCTTATCACAACCACTAGAATTACAAGTTCCCACTTTTAAGGGGGTGTATTCAATTTAGATTTTAAAAGAATTTGAAAAAGTTTAAAAGTTCAGGTGTATTCAATCACGATTTTATAGGAGTCTATACAATTCTGGGTGTATTCAATTCAGACATTTTAAACTACATTCAAATTTGGATATATTCAATCACGACTTTAAAAGACTTCATAAAAGTTTAGGTGTATTCAAAAATTCATTGATTTTAAAGGAAATACAAAAAGTGGTGGATTTCGTTTGATTATAGAATAATTTTAGGCCATGAAAAATCTTTGCTTCCTCCCAGAGATTTTGATAGATATATTATTTTTATTCTCAAGATTTGATTTCACCACTTCTACTACCACCATCTTATAATGGCTATCACCACCGCTGCCACCACCACCACCGCCACCACCACCTCACTCCTACTGACACCACCACTACCACCCCCACCTCCTCTACCATCACCCACAAACCACCATCGCCATTGCCATCACCACCATTGTCATCACCCCTAAACCCTTTGGTTTTTTAGTGCTATAAACTTCATTAAAATCAATAATAAAACTCTAACAAACTCAATTAAAATCTATACACGAATTTAGTCAAAATCTATGTGGAGTTTGTAGAATTCAGTCAAATTCAATTAAATTTAATTAAACTCCATCAACTTAATAACTCTTTTAAAATCATTTAAAATCTAAATTGAATACATTCTCCTTAGATAATGGTGTGGGATTTTTATTTTCTTCTGTTTTGAGAACTTGTATAAATTTTCAAATGATTCAAATTAAAGTTAATCACGGACTGAACATGCAAAGAATTTGACTTCCTTTTTCTTTGTTCTTATTTTGCTTATAGCAAAGAATTTAATTTCAGCAGGAGCCTTTCAACCATAATTGAATCAAGGAAAAAACATAAGCTCAGATGATGATGCATCTCCCAAGTCAATGCCAGCAATTAAATTGATTTCCTCAGTAACCAGTAAGTATCCATTGAACATTGTCTGCTCAGAACACTATAAGAAAGTTCGTCCTTGTTACATTTATCACGTACATAGATATTGCTCAAGTAATTATCATAAGCATATGCTTCAGCTAAACTGATTATTACACCATATCTCAGGAGCCTTTGAGAAAAATGGAACCCACAATAGAAACAGAAGATCCAAGATCCACGAGTCGTGACAGCCTCTATAAAATGAGTAACCCACTGCTCAACCTTTTAATCACATAGAAGAGAAATTTGTGTAATATGTCAGATGATATGCTATAACCTATTACCAAGACTCCACAACAGAGACTGGCATAAAGAATATTACTAAGAGAAAGCAATATTGAGTCTTGACCACACAAAGCATGCCAGAAAGTGCAAAATTACCAGCTCCTATAGCTTGGTTTGCATGCTAGGCTTCCTTCTACTAAAACGGACACCCTCCTAACTACAAAAGCTAACTGTTAACAGATTTCCTGCCAAACTTCTTGCTGACTTGGGTATCCATGATAACTAGCTAGGATTGCTGGAATGGCTCTTGTTTGCTAATCTATCCCCCCGCAAAAATTCCTACCGCTCCTATAGAATTAAAAGCTTGAAATCTGACTGGAAAGTCCAGGAACTCCTCCCATGTGGCATCTTCCTTAGCAGCATTAACTTCCATTGAAGACCGACCTCAGTAATTCCTCCATTGCTCTTCTTCACCTTTCATATATCCAATATAACAACAGGCTGCTCTTGTATGATCCCGTCAGTATTGGTAGTAGGCAAAACATTGTATAGGAGAAAAGATGCCTTGTAAGGCATTACAGATTGGAAAACTGGATGCAACTTTGAACCACTTGGAAGTTGCAGCTTATAATTTACCTTTCCTACCTGGCAAGAACCCCAAATAAGAACTTGGCTGTGACAAGAGTGACTTGAAAGAGAAGCATGTCAGCAAGGAGCCAACCTGAGATACGCAAGACAATTAAAGAAAATTAGTACAAGAATATGTCTATGGAGAGAAATTAACATAAAATATTTAATTAAAAACATCAATCTGTCCACTTAACCACGCATAATGCATATCCATAATTTAAACTTAACGAAATAAAGAAAGCAATGGTTTGCAAAATCCATGATTGCATAAACTGGAATAAGAAGGATTTACTTGCTGGCAGAGTATGGGTTTCAGACAATACAGACGTGCATTAAATAAACTCCCTAGGTTATAACCAGATATACCAAGTCAAGGGAGACGTCAATCTTAGTGAACCATTGAGAAGAAGTCAATTTATCAGGCTTATCTTCAAGTCTAGATCTGAAAAACTGAATACCCGGCGGTAATCTTATTGATGGCATGACTATCAGCACATATACTTGCTCAGTTTTTTTTATCCCAACAAAAAAATAATACAAGTTCCTGAGAAACCTTAGAATGGTCCAATACAAGTGAAAAATTGACTTGGCTTTTTTGGGCTGCGTGAAAAGAAAACTATCAATCATATTTAATCATCCAAAAGCCAAGTGTCTGAAGCTTATTATCATTTATATCAGGGGAGAAACTTATAAGAAAACAACATAATTGAAGCAAAGCAAAACCTATCACACTTCTGTTGAATTCCTTGTTAACAAGAAGGAAAAAAAACGATATTTAACCCAAAAAAAAAACAGAATATTATTGTTGTGCAAAGGGTAGAAAAATCAATGGTAGACCAGGATGGAGAAATCACAGATATTACAGACCCATTTATCATATAACCAAATAACTGCATCTTATTAAGATTTCATTTGAAATTCCAAACTCTCTCAACACATGCCTTCTCGCCCTGATTTATGAAAGAAGATACCTTTCTCACCAAGTCCACAGGCTTGTCACAATTTGGGTTAAACAGGTGAAACATGCGGTCCTCCCCAAACACAGACATATCTGCAAATAGATAATCACACACATTAGACTATGAGATAGTAGGAAGGAAAAAAATAAAAACTGAATAAGCCTTTTTTTTCATGAATAACGTGCTTGGTGGAAGCTTAACTACTAATGAGTATACACATCAATCAAATGTGCCAGGCTCGCAAGCTATGATCAATGTGCCACATAAGGAAGAAAATATATATATAAAAACATGATAAATGCTTGTAATTTATTTGCTTGTAGATTTGTAGTTTTACCCTTTTCTCCACAAATACGAGCTACAATGAAACAACACCCCAAGCTTTTTTTTTCAGTTCTAATGTTTTTCTTGCATATACAGAACAAATACCAAATTTCAAGCCTCCAAAACAATGCTAATCATAACAAAGAAACAAAACACAACATGTAGAACAAAAAACAGACAAAAGAATACACAAATTAAAATCATAAAATAATTTAACCATCATATCAAATGAAGTGAGAAACAGGAAGAGAGAAGTTACCTTGCTAGCAAGAATCAAATCCCAAGTAGTAGTAATTGCAGGTTCAGGACACGTTTTCCAAGGGGCACGTTTTCCATTTCCCTTTAGTTCATGTGGCATTCTAGAAGAAATTTTGTAGTTTGGTGCAGATAAAAATCAAGATCATATCCAAAAGATCTCATCCTACTAATGAGATCAAGGGCGTGATCTTTTTTGTCTTGGGAACGAAGAAGACACTTGAGCAGCTGGTTGCATATTTCAGGCATTAACATGAAACCCTTCTCCAGAGTATATATGAAGACACCTATCGCCAGGTCCAAGTTCCCTTCTTTGCAGAGACCATTGATCAAGTGTACACAACTTGGTGGAGTGACAATGACTTTGTACTCGTCAAGAACAGAAAATATTCTCAAAGCTTCATGTACTCTTCTCACCTGACACAAACCAATTAGCAAAATGGTGCATGGTTCTAAATCAAAGTCTTTGAAGTTTACATCCATTTCAAGTAAACCTCTGATTGCCTTCTCAGTTTTCCCTTCCTTAAAGTCTTCTTCTATTGCTTTGATTTTTTCCTCTTCTCTCCGAGAAAGGTTGCTTAGATACTTCAACCAAAGACTAAAAGCTAAAGAAACCTTCTTTTTCCTGCAAGACCAAGTCATCAGTGATTTATAAACTGCAGAGCTAGGCACGCATCCATGCTTCACCATTTGATCAAAGACCACAAAGGCATCCTCTTCTCTATCAACCCTTTGCAGTCCATCTATAAGTGTCCCATATGTAACCGAATCTGGTGAGAGCCCTTTCAGTTGCATATCCTTGAAGAGCTTAAAAGCACCATTTATGTTACCAGCCTTGCAAAACCCATTGATTAGAATGTTGTAAGTGATGATGTCAGGTGTGACCCCACTGTCAGCTAGCTGCGTCAGAAGTTTGTAGGCCCTAAGAATCAATCCTGACTCACACAATTGCTCTACCTCCGTTTGAAGACTGGCACTGTCAGTAATCCGATTACTACCTTGAGAAAGACGAAGAAATAATGAAGGATTTCTTCCTATCTCCATCTTGTAAAATAATAAGTGCGCTTCCTCAAGCTTAGAAGCCTTACAAAGTCCATCAATAAGAGCATTGAAGGTCACAACAGAAGGGACACATCCAAGCTTCTCCATCTCATTGAATATTTGTTGTGCCTCCCCTACCAGCCCATTCTTGCACATACCACATATGAGAATGGTGTAAGTGCAGGCATTAGGGAAGCAATCTAGCTTTGAAATATCAAGATGCAGAGACCGAGCTTCATCCAAAAGACCCAAATCACAGAACCCTTTAATGACAGCATTATAACAGTAGGCATCCGGAACCAAACCTCTCTCATTCATCTCGTTCAAGAAGTTCAAAGCATCCTTAACCCTGCCAGCATCTGATAACCCCCGAATTATTATCGTACACAGGACAATGTCAGGTTTGATGCCCTTCTTGATCATTTTGCTATACCACCCATGCGCTTCATCAAATCTCCCAGCTATAAATAAACCATGAATCAAGCAAGTATATCCACTGAGTCCGAGAACATAACCATCCCTCTCAAATGATCTCAAGAGCGCATAAGCTTCACCAATGCTGCCTGATTTACAATACCCATCAAGTAAAGCATTGTAAGTAATCAAATCAGGAGGACACCCACTTGCCTTCATCATTTCAACCAATGTATACGCTTCATGGGTCCTCTTTGCCTGGCACAAGCCAGAAACAACAATAGTACAAGTTATGGTATTGGGAGCAATACCTCTCTGGGTCATTTCATCAAACATTTGAAGCGCGTCCTGAGTTTTCCTCGTTTTGCAGAACCCATTAATCAAAATGCCATAAGTATTTCTACTGGGACTATGATTTGACTTCAACATCTGGTTATATATAGCTAAAGCTAGCAAAAACAGTTCTTTTCGCACCATAACATAAAGTATCGCATTGTAAGTAAAGGCATTAGGCTTACAATCGAAATCTTTCATCCGGCCAAATGTCTCCACAGCCTTTTCAGCCATGTCCAATTTGGCATAACCATTGATCAGCACAGCAAAGGCAGCAGAACCAATTGGAAGCCCGCAGTCTCTCAGTTGTTCAAGTGTTCTCCAATAGAGTTCAAAGGCATCGTCCCTGACAAGCATGTCAATGACCGAACTCTGAGACATTCGGCTGCAAAGCCTCATCCTTTTGGTTGCCCAAATGAAGAACCGGAAAACCAATCGTGGGTTTGTCTGTTCTCGGATCACATAGCTCACTATCTCACTGGAGAGTTTGGGGACTACGGGTTCCAAGGCACTCTCCATATGGTTGACTGTTTCAAGGATGGTGAGGACCTCATTGGCAGTAACAGTCGCCTCTGAACAGGTGTTGAAACAGCGACGCCATGGGGGTTTGGGAGTGAAGTAGGAGATGGGTCGAAGCATAGGAGGTAGGAGATTCATTGTGTCATTGTTTCAATGGTTGCATTTTTCACGCTATTTGCTTATGGGTACGCTTTGCAATGTTGGGAAAAAGCTCGCTCCGAAATCAAGTGAAACCCCATCAAACACAAACACAAACACGTACTACAAATGAAAATCTATCAACACATTGGCTTGCTGTATTTTCGGGGATTAGGAAGATGGGTCTTGCTTTGGTGTTTGAGAATAATTTTGAGAGTATTTGAATCAGTTCCCAATTGGGATTATTGGGGTGCGTTTGTTGTTTGCTGGGATTGAATTGGCTATGGCCTCTAAAGATACGAATTCCAAGGAAGGGTCATTTGTGGATGCTGGTTTGTGCGGCGGTTCCGTTAACCGGGTCCAGGTTCTGCCAGTTGGGTTTTGGGTATGAAATTTTGCTCCCTTTTTTGGTTAAATTGAGGGAGATGGCGTTCTCTAGATAGATCCTCTCCGCTTGGGGGTGATGTGTAGGGTTTTAAGTTTTACCATGTCCCTGTTCCAAAAGTTAAAAAAGGCTTGGAACTCTGTAAAACTATTAAACGGCGGCGTATTGATGTCCCTTTTTTGGCTCCTCGGATATGGGCCACACTACCAATGAGGAATGAAGCTATCCACATGGACAGGAGAAAAACAGATACAGAGAGAAGTCAGAGACTGGTGTGTTTTGAGAGTGAAAGACCATGTTGCTCCAGTTTTGGAGCATTTCCAGTTCCACTGCGCTTCACAATTCTTGGGCTTTCTCTTACTCCGGAAAGCACCACAACCTTGTTTTTAAAGGACCTATCTGCCTCAGAAAGCCAAAGGCCTCCTCACCCACTTGCCTCAGAGCTCAGTTGCTAGAGGAAATCACTCAACTTGCCCATAACAAGGTCAAAACTAATTCCGGATATCTCTAAAGTTTCTTGCGTTTTCATTCCCTGCTTCAAATTTTCTGAATTGCTTCATTGTTTTGGATGGTTTTGATGCTATAGTTGGTTGCTGAGATGAAATTTTGGTGATCTGTTTGTTCTGTTTTGTTTATTTTGGAAAGGTGCTGATTGCTGCTGGCGTTTCTGCGGCAATTGGGCAGCTCACCAAGCCTGTCACTTCTGTAATTTTGTATGGGAAAGACTTTGATTTCAAGGCAATCGTTCAGGCCGGGGGCTTCCCTTCTACCCATTCCTCTGTAAGATTACCAGTCAGAATATATGATTTAAGTTAATTCATCATACTCAGTGATGTTGAATACTAATTAGCTGACCCTGAAATTGCTTTTATTACCATTTTCTCCGTGGATAGGCAGTGGTGGCTACTGCAACAACCCTTGGCCTTGAAAGGTATGCACCACTCGTTTTCTTCCTCCTGCATTTATACAAACACCTCTGTTCATGTATTGCTGAATATCTGGAAATTAAGTTAAATTTAAAATTGACTAACTTTGACTGGTCTCTTACTTATAACTGTATTGTTTCGTTCCAGGGGCCTTTCGGATTCAATATTTGGCCTTACTGTTGTTTATGCAGGTCTTGTGATGTATGACGCCCAGGTATAAATGTTCTTTACAGTTTCAAACCTCTAATTATGTCTTTTCACATCTGTCCCTTGATCCTATGAATTTCGTCAGTTTTTATATTTTGAATAATGAAAACTTACATTGGGATTGCTTTCTTGTCATGATTTTTGGTTCAAGAGTACCAATAGTTGAACTCCAACCTTTTGTTTCATAAGGTCTTATTAAAGAAGAATGAGGTGCAACTCTGTACTCGTTGACCATGGTGGCTTCTACAGGAGTAATATAAAGGTTACAGAACGTGATACAGGATTTTTGTTTTGGTTGATATTTGATCATTTTAAACTTTTCCTCTGCTGACTAAATTTATACTGCCAAAAGGATGTGGAGATATAAATATAGGCTGACAGTGCTACACTTCTGGTGCCACTCACTATAATTGAAACTTCACACCAGTCTGAGCTAGAAGTGGTTCTTCAAGTTCATTTGAGTTGACTAAATCAGACTAGAGTTTTCCGCTAGTTCAGCTTAAGCTTTGCTTATATGTGCTCTAGGGTGTAGCATGTCTGCAGGTGTAATTATAGTTACTACAGCCAATTGATATTAATGTCTCCCATTCTTCACTACCTTTTCCAGTCCCCATAGTTGTTGCCTAGTGCTGCACTCATAATGTGGCAGAAATTGTTTTCTGGGTTACATTGTAGCAGTTATTTGGTGCTATTGAGATGATTTGTGTTTGATATATTGCAAAAGTGTACAACACTGCTGCATTGAAAAGCATTCTGATGGAGATTACTTTCTTATCAGATAGTATTGCGTGCTTTGTAATACAAATAATTATTTCGGAAATATCAATGTGAGATCATACTAGTAGTGATAGATTTTATACATTCAACTTCAAATTCTTCATGAAATCTCAAAATTCCATCTTAGTCATTACAGGAAGGAGAGCTTTAGATTACTAAGCAATAACAGTTAATAATACTTTATTCCCTTTCTTTTGGTGGCTTGTTTTCTGTTGTTTTGAGTTTGGAGGTTTTCTTTGAGGCTGTGGTTAGTTTCTGAGTTTTGTGGACTGCTGGTCCACATTGATTGTACCCTTTTATATATATCTGCATGTTTCCTATAAAAAATAATAATAAATTTACTTGTTTGTTTCCCACATAAAATATGAAAGGATCCCTTGTGAGATTAGTAGAAAAAATTGGCATTCTTCTTCTTCTTCTTCTTCTACTATTGATGGTGGATTGAAGAATAGTGAGAAGTTTTGTGCTTTTGAAATTCATACCCCGCCTTCCTTTTCTAAATGTAGTTGCTAGAGGTTTCTTCTTGATGGGATCATCATCAATTTAATTAAGTTTTTGCTAGTTTCAGATATCAACACCGGGCACAACGTATATAGTACGACTTTTGCTACTGTATTCACATTGTAAATTACTGATGACAATGTGTTCAAATTTGTATTTGCTTACGTGGGTCTGAACCAAAAACTGAAGGCAAATCTCTACTTTTTCAGGGCGTGAGAAGAGAAGTTGGCAATCATGCAAAAGTACTGAACAAAACACTGCCTGAAAGTACAAGGATGAACGCAGTTCCCACCAAGGACAGAGGTGGAATTAACCCTAAACCGAAAACATCATCGTCTTCGTCGTTAAAGTCGGATAGCTTTAGGTCTCTGTTGTCTGAGGAAGCAAATTCTTTCTCATCAAAACCAACAAACGGCCCTTTAGTGTCTCTCTCAGATAACAAAATGAGGCAAACTACTGACACACAGATGTCTTCTGGCTTAGGAACTGATGCCGAGCAAGGTTTAGAAAGAGCTGGCAATCGTTCAACTCTGTTGAAAGAATCGATTGGCCACACTGAAGTTGAAGTCACAGCCGGTGCTTTGTTGGGTTTCTTAGTAAGCTTGGCTATGTACACCATAATGTGATATCAAATGCGCTCATACTTGTGGCTCAAATTTTGTATCCTAAATTTATTGTTGTTGATGTAGGCTACTAGGCTCTTAGGCTTGAAATAGTTATAGCTTAAGAGATGAGATCTCCTTATAGAACTTGACTTATGGATAGAAATTGGAAGTGGCAAGATGTGCCGAAGCACAAAACAAGCACACTTAAGAAAAAGGAAAAGGAAGCATCAATTCAGTTGAGTTGAGTCGACATTCTTTTTTCTTCTTTATAAATTGCAGTCTCATCTCAGAGTATACTTATTGAACAGGGGAGTGTTGAAAATATATTAAGCTTATATGTTACTGAGAAACTTTTTATTCCAAGAGACACTGTGACGTAATGTTATTAATTCACGTGTTATAATAAACGTTAATATAACACTTCATCGCACTCTCTTTGTCTTGTTCTGCTATGTAACAGTATATCCGTAACTGTTTGATGTTTAGATTATGACTCTTCATCTTATCTTGTTAAAGGCGTGGCTGCAAAGCGTTTGCATGAGACACGTATGGAGCCGTAGGCTAACTGCTGGCTATGTATGGATGCCACGTAGCCTCACCGGTGAGTACAGGTGTCATTGAAACAGGCAATTGAGGCTTCATCAGCTGAAACAAACAGTAGACTCGACCGACTACAAGAATCTCAAAGGCTATATATATTATGTATAATAAAATTTGATCATATCCCTGCTTGCAAATCATCAGAGCTAAAAAGTTAAAAGTAAAATTTGATCATCAAAGTTGAAAATGTCAGGAGCACAAGGAGCTCAGCCGCCGGGGTCACGGACGGCAACAACGTACAAGTCAATTCCGGGAGGAGAGAACAAAAGCAAGGCAGACCTGAAATCCCAACAGGACCAAGGTGGCCTTCAGATTGACAAGCTCCAAGACAAGGTCGAGGATGCTGCTGGCAAAGGTGGCCCTGTCTTTGGCGCCGGGAAAGACCCAAATAAGCAAGATCTTGGTGTCACCGGCAGTGGCTAATTATAATTAATAGCTTAATTAGGCAGCTTGTGTGTATGTGTGTTAATTATATAGCCTAGGGTTAATTAAGTGTGTTTTGATCAGCATGTATGGTGCTGGAGTTTTGGTTAATTATGTGTCTCCATATTATGTAATTAGTTTCCACCGTTCCATATTATGAATTAAAATATTATCGTTTTATTTTGATGGGTCTATTTTATATAGAATTTTTTACACATTGACCTCAAAAATGAAAATTTCTGGATTCTCCACTACATGTGGGACATGGTTTCGCCACAGCCACATTTGAAATCCTAAGTTTGAAACTCTAAGAACCTATGAGCTTCAAGATCTTATGTTCATAGTCCAAGCTCTAGTTTTTAAGTTAAAACCTAGACTTCGTGGTAAATTTGAAACTTTTAAGAACCTATGAGCTTCAAGATCTTCTGTTCATAGTCCAAGCTCTAGGGTTTAAATTAAAACCTAGACCTCGTGGTAAGTTTGAAACTCTAATAACCTATTCTTAGAGCTTCAAGATCTTCTGTTCATAGTCCAAGCTCTAGGGTTTAAATTAAAACCTAGACCTCGTGGTAAGTTTGAAACTCTAATAACCTATTCTTAGAGCTTCAAGATCTTCTGTTCATAGTCCAAGCTCTAGGGTTTAAATTAAAACCTAGACCTCGTGGTAAGTTTGAAACTCTAAGAACCTATGAGCTTCAAGATCTTCTTTTCATAGTCCAAGCTCTAGTTTTAAGTTAAAACCTAGACCTCGTGGTAAGTTTGAAACTCTAAGAACCTATGAGCTTCAAGATCTTCTTTTCATAGTCCAAGCTCTAGTTTTAAGTTAAAACCTAGACCTCGTGGTAAGTTTGAAACTCTAAGAACCTATGAGCTTCAAGATCTTCTTTTCATAGTCCAAGCTCTAGTTTTAAGTTAAAACCTAGACCTCGTGGTAAGTTTGAAACTCTAAGAACCTATGAGCTTCAAGATCTTCTTTTCATAGTCCAAGCTCTAGTTTTAAGTTAAAACCTAGACCTCGTGGTAAGTTTGAAACTCTAAGAACCTATGAGCTTCAAGATCTTCTTTTCATAGTCCAAGCTCTAGTTTTAAGTTAAAACCTAGACCTCGTGGTAAGTTTGAAACTCTAAGAACCTATGAGCTTCAAGATCTTCTTTTCATAGTCCAAGCTCTAGTTTTAAGTTAAAACCTAGACCTCGTGGTAAGTTTGAAACTCTAAGAACCTATGAGCTTCAAGATCTTCTGTTTATAGTCCAAGCTCTAGGGTTTAACTTAAAACCTAGACCTCGTGGTCGGAGTGGCTGGTTTAAATGAGTACTCCCGTAGCACCCATTTATCTCATGCAAGTATGGTATGATATAGTTGAAAAACGTAAGCCCTTGTATGGGTTGGGCTTACGTTTTCTTGCTTTTCTTTGTTGAACTTTTTACGGTATGCCCTATATGTTTTCCCCTTTAGCTCAATAAATTAAGAACAATCGACGTCCCTAGGTAAATTAAGAACAATCGACGTCACAATTTAGGGGAAATTTAATGTCATTCTAAGAAGAAAATTAAAGAAACAAAATACTGCGATAATTCGTCACATATAAAACTAACTTAATTTATTTTTTCATTTCAAAGCATTGCATGTGCTTCATATGTGAAATTTTTAAAAGAGTGTATCCATGCATATTACCACTTTAAAAAGAAAATATAACTCGTTAGTAGTGATGTAGACACAGAGACGCAATGAGCTGCATCTGTACTTTTTCTCACCAACAAACCTCTCAAATGCATCTGTACTTTTTCTCACCAACAAATCTCTTTGAGAGGTTCTATTAAATATAGCTCGTTAGTAGTGATGTAGACACAAAGACACAATGAGCTGCATCTGCACTTTTTCTCACCAACAAATCTCTTTGAGAGGTTCTATTAAATGACTTAAAGAGGCTTTACTGTTTTATTTGTTTGTAATGTTTGTTTTTTATTTATTATAAATTAATTAGTATTATTTTAATTATAAGTGTATTTGATATTTTGTTGTTGTTGAGATTTTAGCCTTTTAAATATCACTCATTTTATGAAAAACTTATGGTACATTACTTCAATATACTTCAATCACACATGGTACATTACAACCATCTCCCACTCCACAACATCACACAAAAAGTGGCGGTGACACCTCCAAACGACCACAATGGCTCAATCTTTTCCTTGGTCTCACATCAACGATTACCAACTTAGACCTATTTCAATTCTCTACCATTTAAAAGAAAATTCCGAAGTGAAAAATTGTTCAAATAAAAGTACAAGAAGTAAAATTGTTCTGTTTGAAATAAAATTACCCACAACAGTCCACTCACCCCCAAAAATCCAACAGTGAAAAAAAAATCGAAATGGGACATGTGGAGAATCTGAATTTCACAGTTTCTAGGGCAGCTGCTGTATCTGCAAATAAATTTGGGATTTACATCTCATAACAATCAATGTCGAGCCATCTCTACGGCTACGGCACCGCACAATCAGCTGCTGCTGCTGCCGCCGCCACTGCCGGCCTATCCAGCCTCTACACCTCACGTGCCCTAACCGACCCGACCCTCCGGTACCTTTCCGGGTCGGACCCTTTCGCCTCCGCCACCAACCACCATAGCCGAAGTAGTTCTATGTATCTGGCGACATCGCATTTGATGTCCCAGTCTTCATGGCCAGCTCCCGATGTCGAGCCCGGCGTTCCCGGCGTCAAACGCCCCTCTGAAGGTTCCTCACCTTCTGCTCTCTATCACTCTACTTCCGCTTTCTGTTTGTTACTGGGGGCTCCAATTATTTTCACATTTTAACTCGAATTTTTGTTCTGATGTAATTGTTTATTGTTTGTTTGATAAGAAAGTGAGAATCTTGAATATGATTATGATTATGATTAAAGTTCATTGCTTTAATACAGACGTTTACTGGAAGTTTCTAATCGCAGTATCATAGAGATCAAAGAGTGGGAATGCATGCACTTGCTGCCTTTGATGCATGCATACATTGCTAATTTAAGCTTATTTCTGTGTTAATCTTGTATGCAAGTGTATTTCTGATTCTATGTGTGCTTTTTAATTTGCTTATCAGCAAGTATGAATATGCTTTTTTGCTTTAATTAGTAATGTTTGAAACTGATTAGGATTTCAATCTTACTTTCATCAAGTCAGTTTACGCCAGATTTCACCTTAGAGAAGGAAAGTTGAAACTTTTTTTAATAATATCATGACAGATTTAGTTAATTAACTTTATCTACTATATGGTTCAGCTGGGTACTGTATTTTTTATATTTCTAATAAACTGCTTAATGTCCAGTAGTTTAGTGTTTTTGTATTGGCATTTAGGTCCATATATTTACAAAAATAGAAGCACAAGAAAATTTATATTTGTGTTTCTTATATATGTACGTTCTTACACAAAATTACTATTTAAGCTATACTTATATGGTAACCTATATGTTTCCTCTGGTTTTCTTGTATATATGTGTCTACTACGTACATTAGCACTCTACCATCAGAGTTTTATGGGTGCGTATAATACGATTGGGCAAGAAGCTTGGTATTCTGCGTTAGCCAAGCGCCCTAGATATGAGAGTGCAAGCAATTTGCCTATTTATCCACAGAGGCCAGGAGAGAAGGATTGTGCCCACTATATGCTCACAAGAACCTGTAAATTTGGAGAGCTCTGCAAGTTTGACCATCCTATTTGGGTTCCTGAGGGTGGAATTCCAGATTGGAAAGAGGTGACTGTTTAAAGTTATATTACATGCCTATAATGGTATTTTATCGTAATTTTACATACGAAATTATTATTTAGTATAATAACTTCTTAAATTCTGATATAAAATAAAGTCATTTAAATTTATCAGTGAATTGATCATATCCTATAAGCTATTTGTCATTGCTATGTTGTATGATTGTTCCTTGGATGTGCAGATACAATATTATAGTAAGACTTATTTGCTTATTTCTTATGTTTTTTAAAGCTTGGTAGTCTGCATTATAATACAACTTTTTCTTTAAAATTTTACTGTTTCATATATTCTTTAGTCTGCCTACCTGCTGAATCTTCTGTAGAGAATCTGGTTATGTGGGAAAGATAAAGCAGCAAGGCTGATTTGTTCTGAAGTCAGTTGTTGGGGAACTTATTATTTCTGACTTTCTCTTTCTTACTTCTTAATTTTTAATCTTATTATCATCTCATTAACCCGAGTTATCTATATTTGGACAGACTAACGACTGTTATTTAGTTCTCTCATGAACTGCTGAATAGGAAGAGGGGTATTAGGGTACAGATTGTCGGCTAATTACGTTGTCAATACACCTGTGAGTTGTATCTTTAGTCTTGGTCTGTCATGTTTGTGCATTGTGATAACTATGCCATTTTGAAGCTATGTTGAATACATTTCGTTAGATTGTGTATATCGTGAAGGAAGGTTTGTCAGGCAAAACTTTCACAGTTTGAAAAGTTGAAATTTTGTTGCAAGCATGTTTTTTAGCAGAGTTTTTGGTAGAATTATTTGATTAATGTTCACTGAATCATTTCTCAGTGAAGTGTTCTAGTTCTTGAATCTTGAAAACCTAGTAGAATGTAGCTAAGGGTAATTTCCCTTGGAAAATAAACTATAGCTAAGTGTAGTTTTGAGCTTTTGACTTGGTTGTTGGGTGTTTTTCTTTTTGAACCACAGGCTATATTTTTCCATGGTCTGAGATGTTTTTGCAAGTGTTATTTCAATGCGAGGGTTGCTCATGGAGTACCTCCATCATTATTGAAAGAGTTTCTTCAATACCCAAGTGCATGCTTTTATGCAAAAATCATTGGCTTACTGAGTTTTGAGATTCCTTTTGGAGGAGACCTTGTTGATGTTGTTGTGGACCTGACTTGAAGATAAAGATCAAGAGATTAGGTTGCTTGTAGCTGTAAACAAATGAAGGAGAGTACTTGTACCTTGATATGTTTGAAAGATAGTTGGTTATTGGTGACTGTGAAGGCTGTAGGAATGTATTAAGAATTGTTTGGAAGGTGTGTGGGCAGTTTTCTAGTTGTTGACCATGATGATGGTGACATAACGTTTTCGAAGTCAAGTCAGTTAGTATGTCTGACATGTTGTAGACATGTACCTATACTTTGCTTAGAATCATGTAAAAAGGGTTTTCATCTGATTACTTTGCATTTTCCTGTTACTGAAAGAAGATGAAAATATTAATCTAGCTTATGATTTGAACCTGGCTTACACCTTGCCTTAAATTCCGTGTAATAGCGGTCCCATCTGATGATTACCTACTTGCTCAATAACATGAGTTTTGTGTGTGAAAAATGCTATAAATTTATGATTGCTTGATTCCATTTTTGTGGCAAGTTATTCTGCTGCTCTGCAGAGTATTTGCTCTTTTCTGCCTTTTGTATCATCTTCATCAGGAATCTATTAATTTTAGAAATTGAATTTGTTGATCACAGATTGCAGCTGTTTGTGTGCTATTGTCTATTTGCTTATTAATTGATAAACAGACAGAAGGTATATCGCTATAACATAACAGAAATTTATGATTGGTTCATTAGGTTCCACTTGTCGCTCCAAGTGAATCCCTTCCTGAGAGACCTGGAGAGCCAGATTGTCCAGTAAGTAGCAATTCAATATTTTTTTTCTTTATGCAGAAATGATACTTTTAAACACTTTAACTGGACATGGATTCTTTTTCCTCTTTAATGTTGCAGTACTTTATAAAGACTCAAAGATGCAAATTTGGTATGAGGTGCAAGTTCAATCATCCGAAGGAAAAACTGGCTGCTGTTGTAAGTGCAAATGATATGCAGATTTTCCAAGAGTTAACTGTCATCTGGACCTATTCCCTATTTTATTATGATATGATGTTCTACTCTGGTTTCAGGTTGCTTCAGAAAATGCTGATGTTTTTGCCTTACCTGAGAGGCCTTCTGAGCCCCCATGTGCTGTAAGATATATTTCCATTACTTTTTTGGTGTGCATTATCTATCTATCTATGATGTCGATTTGCTTATATTCCATTTCATAATTTTTAAACAGTTCTACTTGAAAACGGGGCAATGTAAGTTTGGTGCAACCTGCAAATTTCATCACCCAAAAGATATCCAGATACCATCAGCCGAGCAAGAGAATAAAATTGGAGAAACTGGGACAACTATTCAGCCGGAGGGAACTGGATTTGGTGTGAAGCTTCCTGTTTCATTCAGCCCTGCACTATTATATAACTCCAAGGAGCTTCCTGTAAGACCGGTAAGGATGAAGCAACACATGAGCATTTTATTATTCTATTTGCATTACGTCCAGATTTTTAGTTAATTCTTTCTTCTTTTGATTTAACAGCTTTTTGATGTCGTAAAGTTCTGATGATCATGTATCTTTTGCTTCTAACAGGGTGAACCCGATTGTCCATTCTACCTGAAAACTGGAAGGTCAGCATATGTATAGTTTTGTTGATTTATACTGTGATAAAAGTAAAAGATGACTGAGAATTCTTAAATGGCTTTTGTTTTCTAAATCAGTTGCAAGTATGGGGCCACTTGCCGCTACAATCATCCTGATAGATATGGTATATTTAAGATTCTGATGTTCAAGATTCCAGTGTTCAGTGTCATTTATCAAATAGTGTTTCAAATTTCATTGCTTAGATTTTTGTGCAGCAATCAATCCACCAGTTGGTGCAATCAGCCATCCCATTGTAGCCCCTCCGGCAGCAGGTCTGAACATAGGAGTTATTAATCCAGCTGCCTCCATTTATCAAACTTTGGCTCAGCCAACGGTAAATAGTATCTTATCTTTTGTCTTACTCTTTTTCTTTTCTACCATGTTGAACTGTTAGCTAATTCAACTCTCTCTCTCTCTCTCATGCACGCCCACACACACAAAAACACATGCCGACGCACTGGGTGGGCCATGATACGTAGTTGTAAAACTTCATCTTGGTATTGTTTACTTAAAACTTGACTCATGTTATTTTTTTGCATGTTGCAGGTGGGAGGGGGCCAAACTGTGTATCCTCAACGCTTTGGACAGATTGAATGCGATGTTAGCATTCTTCTTCATCCTCTTCATTATTTAAATGAATGTGATTTTAAATGCATATGGTTTTTGAGACGCCTTTGGATAGATCCTAAGAGAAAAATATTGAATTTGAGTGTTAATATCTTAAAAAGTATGTAGTACCTTCTAATTCTCATAATATTAATTCTTCCAGGAACTGTTACTGGAATATTATACCTTCTCATTTTTCTGAATCATTGGAACCTTGACCACAGCTCTCATGTTTATGCGTTGTGATTTTTTCGTGTTGTAGTACTATATGAAGACGGGGGAATGTAGGTTTGGCGAACAATGCAAATACCATCACCCAATTGATAGGTCAGCAGTGGCCCTGTCAACAACAAAACCAGTTCAACAACAAAATGTTAAGCTAACTCTTGCTGGACTACCTAGGAGAGAGGTATGAATCCTTCTCTATAGAATGATGGGGTTATTCTTTGTTGGGATTATACTGTTGGAGCAATAGGGATTGAAAAAA